CGGGGGCGGGGCCTGAGGCTGCTGCAGTTACAGCGGTGTAAATCCGGAGCGAGGTGACTGCGGCTGGAGCAGAGTGAGGGGGCAGGGGGAGCGAGGCGCAGCTCAGCAGCAGGTGGGGTGGGCAGGTCCCGCTTCGTGCCCGGCGCGATGCGCGCATAGCCCGGGAGTTCCACTAAGAACTAAGGGGGCTGTGCGCTCCCAGCGGGCGGGGGCCGGTGCAGTCCAGCTCCAACCTGACGGTGCAGGCGTTTACAGCACCCCTCCCTTTCCTGGAAAGACGGGGGCGAGTTTCTAGGGGGTCTCTGTGGGGCTGGTTAGTCTGGCTCTTTGCGCTCTTACTCCTTTGCACGTTCTGCCCCGGAGGACAGGAGCTAGAGAAGCACTGAGTGAGTCACTGGAGAAGTTGTAGCTTTTTCCCCAGAGGAAGGGTCCTAGTTGAAGTTTCATCTGTAGCTCAGTGCAGGTGGCCTCTGGCCGAGTGGCTACACTGGTGCTACCCACCTGAGGTTTAAGGCTGTGTGCTTTATTGACACACCTGGTCCTGGGGGGATTTTGCTATTGTTGCAGTTAGAGACAATAAAACTGCAGAATTACCCCCAGGACTGACACCAGTAGATCCACTGACTTGTGTTACTACTGTAAGTAAAGAAAGCAAGGTTCTTCCCATGGCATGGGGTGGAGGGAGGTAAATGTCCTAGGGGAGGTTCACTGAAACAAAATTGGGCACCCACCTCTTATAGCCCATGAGAGTTAAAATAAAAATCGTTCAAACCCTATCTATAAGGAGTTGGCATTAATGCTGTTCTAAAGGTTAACTGTTCAGGTGTCAAAAGTTTTAACAAGGCCCTGGCTCCTTCACATGCTCTCAGAATTAAAAGGAAGTGCAAAGATCAGTGCTGTCAAATGAAAAAAGATGACTTTAAAAAAGGAGAACAGAAATAGTATCAACTTCACATTTCTCTGAACTGTAGATGAAATTTGGCTGTATTTAAAGAGCTTCTCTGTTGAAACCAGAGCAAAGGGTTGAAATTCAAGGAGTCCCAATTCCTAGCTCATTTGATCTATCTCAGTCAACCCTCATGTAAAAATTGTGGGATAGGAACTGGATTTTACTCACAGATATAGTATCTCAGTTGAGCCTTACTGAACAGGAAAGTTTAAAAGCACATTAAGACTTTCATGATTTTCAATCTATTTTACTGATCAGGAAATAAGGGCACTTGCAGCGGCATCTATGTGGTTGGCTTTGGATGTGCCAATTCCCTACCTCTTGGGGTGACACAAATGTGGAGCATACATTTAGTACTCTTCAGTAAGATCAACTGTTGCATTCTCTAGGTAGGCATGTTACTACTATCCATTTTGGATGGGGTTTCACAACATTGCAATTTGACACTGAAAAAGAAAAGCATTCACTAATGAAATATTGGACATAAACAATCAGAACAAGCAAATGTAACCACCATGAAGCAGATTTGAACCTAGAATCTCAGTATAGGAGCCACTACCTGTTGAGCTAAAAGCCAACTGCCCTTCAGCCCATGCTGCATGCTGTAGAGGTCTGTTGGTTTTATCTGTGGTTGTAGTGTAGGTGCCTCTGCATGGGACAACAAACCACAGTAGATGTGGGGGTTACACAAATTCTTTACCTCACTTGCTTTGCTATCAGATCAGTTTTCCAAACTGATTTGATAGTGAGTTGTAAAATTTTGAGTGGAATTTCATAGCAAGTCTCAGCTGTGTTCTTGTAATGTTTAATGCCATTGTAAAAAAAAAAAAATCCTCCATGCAGGTCATCATGAATTTCTGTCACTCTTGATTTTAAATCATTTAATTTTGATTGTGATGTTTTATTTTATATATAAAGATCAGTTCCTGTGAACACACAGCTTTACATGACTATCCATGTTGGTCTAAAGTCAGTACTTACATCTGAATAACTTTACTTGCAGTATCAAGGCCTAAGGTTGGAATAACTTTTAGGGTAAAGGACGTGGATGGCAACCTATGGCATCATACTTCAGGACACCGAAGTGTCCCAAACTCTATTACAGAAAGTGGGGAGAGGAATAGTATAGAGCCCTCCAAAGTGCTGGCTTAAGGGTATAAAACAAAAACAAGGGGCGAAAAGGAGTGGAGACAAAAAACAACTCCCCCACAAAACGCCATTTTGAAGACAATAAATAGAATAAAAGGGAAGGGAAGGAGCCAGAACAATTTCAGTTTGATACGCCAGCCTCAATGAAGTGTCATAGATTTTTTTAATTAATATATTGCTAGTATTGTTGATCCTCTTGACTGGTATTGGAAGTTGGGAACCCAACTTCATTCTTTAAGGTACCAGCACTCTAGAGGCAAGGGGAGATGTGACACATTTGTTCGCATTAACTGAAACAGAGCCAAGCATCATGCATTTCATGAGCTACTCATGCCTTGTCCCATCTTCCTAGATTGCTGGTGAAATGTCTAAGAAAGGTGCAAATTAAGACTTCATGGATAATCATAACTTCCTAACTTTGTAATGTTAAATGTTTCTCAACTTTTTTTCTGTAGTATCTATCTACAGATCTGCCTCTTAATTTACGTTTTAGTGAGGGACTGGATGCCTTAAGTCATTACCAATGAGCTACAGAGACCATTCATTTGTAGCTCACCAATTTGAGTCCAGCCCAGATCAGAAGGGACTTCAGGTTGTTTTAATCTAAAGGATGGCTAGTGGCCCTTATGAGATGAGTTTGGTGGATCTCCATTCCTGGTCCTACATCACAAATTCACCATCAAGCGTTGCACTAATTAGCAGACTCAGCAGAAGGCCAAGAACTGCACAGAGCATGGAAATTAAATGACCTGTTACTCTTAGTGTTGAAATCCTTTCCTCCAAATTGAGGTAAAGTCAAGTGTCATGTCAGAAATTTGCCCTGTCGCTACATCATTTACAGGTCTGTTGAACCTTTCATGAGCATTATATCCAGACAGATTTTTTTAAGATGAAGCTTTGGTTATATGCAAATTAGTTAACTACATTCATTAGCTCATTCCAAAAAATTGTTAGCTATATTGAAAATCTGTATGTGGATAGAAGACTTTGGCTCTTTGAGTATCAAAGAAGAAGGATCAACAAGAAGAATGTCTCTACAGATCTTTGCGTACATGTATTAATTAGTGTTGAGTAAGATGCCCAAACTGGGAATACTTGCAAATGAAGAAGTTTACATAGGTTCATGAAATAGATTAATTCATCTGCCTACAAGGCACCAATGGCCATTTGCCCTCTTTGATCATGGCATTTGCCATGTCTTTTAAAAATCATGCTTTTGAGAGTAAGATAAAAGCATGGTGTGTTGTATGTATCTTCCTAGAAGCAAGTTTTGGAGGAGGGGCTACTGGTTGCAAGACAATAAAACATCTATAATTCTCCCCCTCTCTAAATTTAAAATGCTGTGAAAAAGTCATTT